CAGAAACCAAACACCACATATTGTCACTCATAAGTGGGAGTTGCACAGTGAGAACACATGGACACAGGGAGGGGAACATCACACAACAGGGCCTGTTGGGGGCTGGGGGTGGGATAACATTAGGAGAAATACCTAATGTAGATGACAGAGTGATGGATTCAGCAGACCACCAAGGCATATGTATCTATGTAACAAACCTGCACATTTAGCAAATGTATCCCAGAACTTAAAGTATAATAATAATAAAAATAATTCTATACAAACTCTTTAGGAAAAAGAGAACAAGAAATTAAGGAATACTTATCTACTGGTTTGGTAAGAACTGTACTGCAGTAGTCTCCCCTTATCCACAAGGAATATGTTCCAAGTTCCCTGGTGGACGCCTGAAACTGCAGATAGTACCAAACCCTGTAAATACTGTTTTTCCCTGTGTATATATACACCTATGATAAAAGTTACTAATAAAATAGAACAATTATAAAAAATATACTGTAATAAAAGTTATATCTCCTTTAAAATAACTACCGTACTTACCTTATTTTGGACCACGGTTGAGCCCACAGAAAGCAAAATCATGGATATGGAGGGACTACTGTACTCTGATACTAAAAGTATATAAACACATCACAAAGAAACTAAAAACTAGATTAAAATTCTCATAAAAGAGAAAAGTTATTGACCAAATATTAACAGAAAAATTCCAAAAAGTATTACAAATACAATATTCAATAAATGACAAAGTAGGGTTTATCCCAGAAGTGTGAGGTTGATTTAATCTTCAAAAATTAATCAATATTACTTGCCATATTAAAAGAATAATGGAGAAAAACATTAAGAGCATCTCTGTAGATACAGAAGAGCATTTTTTCATTCGGTACTCACTTGTACTTTTAAAAAATCTTAGTTAACTGAGAAAAAAACACTTCCTTATCTTAACAAAGGTCATCTATGAAAAACCCACAGTTAACATCAAACTTAATGGAGAAAAAACAAATAATTTTCCTATTTGACAGTGTATGAGAGGTACTAACAAATGCAAAAGATGCAAAAAAATAAAGGGTAGAAATCAAAAAAGAATGAAACGTCTATTTGTAGATGACAATATATTTTTTGACAGAAATAAAAGAATACCTAAAGATATGAAGATAGTGCAACATTCATGGATGGGAAAGTTGTTCAATATTGTCATAATATCATTTCTCCATAGATTTATTAATGGAATCAACACCATTTTTTGCCAGTATCACAGAAAATTTCTTTAGAAATTGTCAGGTTGATGCTAAAATCTATGAGGAAATTCAAATGATCTAGAAAAGCCAAAGGACTTTTTGAAAAGACAACAAAAATTGGATGACTAATACCATCTGATTTCAAGAATTAAACTGATGATAAAAAGCTATAGCAACCAAGAGAGCTGTACTGGTTTAACAGACATATAAATTGGTGGAGCAGAATGGAAAACAGAAATCGAGAGGTACATATACGATCAACTGATTTTTGACAAATATCCTCAAGTAACTTAACAGGAAAGGGAAAGTATTTTTTAAATTTATATTTTATTTATTTATATTTTTGTAGAGACAGGGTCTCACTGTCACCTATACTGGAGTGCAGTGGCAATCACAGCTCACTGCAGCTTCAAACTCCTCGGCTCAAGCAATCCTCCTACCTCAGCTTCCTGAGTATCTAGGAGTACTACTCAGGTGCATGCCAACATGCCTGGCTATTTTATTTTTGTAAATAGGGGAATCTTGCTATGTTGCCCAGACTGCTCTCAAACTCATGGCCTCAAGCCATCCACCCACCTCAACCTTCAGGAGTGCTGGGATTACAGGGGTGAGCCACCACATCTGGCTAGAAAGGGAAGTCTTTTTAAGAAACAGCACTCTAAAAACTAAATAGCTGTAGGAGAGAAAAAAAACCTTCATTCCTACTTCATGCTATACACAATTAATTCAAAATGGATCATAGATTTGAATGCAAATAATTAAATTTTTTTAGGAGAAAATCTTCAAGACATTGGTATAGGCAAAGATCTCTTAGATAGAACACAAAGAGGCTAAATCATAAAAGGAAAAGCATGTTAAAATGGATTTAAATTTTAAAACTTCTGCTCTTTAAGAAATACGAAGAAAAGGAAGAGGTAAACCACAAATGAGCATAAAATATGCATAATATATTTATCTAATAAGGAACCTGTATTTATAATATATAAATTTCTCAATAATTTAAAAAACCAATTAAAAGTTAGCAAAATGTTTAAAGATAAAATATACCAAAAATTCTACATATATGGGGAATAAGCAGACAAAAAGATGCTCAGCATCACTAGTTATGAGGAAAATGCAATGAGAAAATATAGTCCCACTAGAATGGATAACACATAAAAGATGGTCAATATTCATGTTGGAGGCAATACGGAACACATGAAACTCTCTTGCACCACTAGTGGAAATGCTGAATGGTATAATCTCTTTGGCTCTTTGGCAAAACATGTGCCTGTTTCTTATAAATACTATACATATTCCTACCCCATGACCTATAAGATTAATGTCTAGGTATATGTTTTTAAAAAATAAAAACATAAACATACACAAAGACATCTATATTAATAGTCATAGCAGCTCTTAGACACAGCCCAAGTTTCCAAAAATAGTTGAATTGACAAGCAAGTTGTTGTGACAAAATGGAATACTACCAGACATAAAAAAGAACAAACTACTGTTACATGCAGCAATATGGTTGAAACTCAAAAACATTATGCTGAGTGAAAGATGCTGGATATAAGAATATTATATGATTTCATTGAAATTAAAATTCTATAAAATGAATACTAATCTACAGTGACAATGCAGATCAGTGCTTGCTTTAAGCCAGTAACAGAGGTTGGGATAGAATGAAAAGAGGTACATATTATAAAATTCCTGAATTTTCTTCTAGTACATGTTTTCTTCTTACATTTGAATCTTTAATTCATCTGGAATTTATTTTGTTGGAAGAAGTAAAGTTAGTATGCAAATTTTCCCACAAAATATCAATCCAATCATTTGTATTTTTCTCACTGACTTAAAATGCGATCCTTTAATATAAATAGAGTTTTCAAATATATCTAGATATAATTCCTGTTTTTGTTTTTTTGGACTGTTTATTTTTGTGTCAATAGCATGCTGATTTATTATTATAGCTTCATATCTTATGTTTGAATGCATTGTATGACAGGTGTTTTCATAGTTTTTTTAATGTTTCTGATTATTTTCATATATATTTTCTTCCAAATGAATGTTAGAATTAATCTTCCAAGCATAAAACATTACTCTCTGTAATGTATGTTCTATGGAAAAAGGAATTTATGTTTTTATAATATTTATCTATCTAAATACATAGTATATATCCCTCTTTTAGTAAGTTATTTTGATTCTTGAAAGGGTTTAACTAGTTGTCATATTAGTCCTATGCATTTCTTATTAAGTCTATACTAAGGAATTTGATGTTTTTTCGAGATATCATGACGGAAAGAATTTTTACAATAGTATATTCTAAATGGTTTGTGTAGACAATTTCTAAAAAATTATATATTTATTTCATAGTATGCTAATGCACATATTCTATTGTTGTAATCATTTTAGCTGATTTCCATTGGTTTTCATGATACCCATTAATTTGATCTATGAATAATAGTTTTGCCATATATTTTCCAAAAATTATAGCTCTTATTTTCCTATCTAACTGGTTTGCTAGCACTTTCTGGGCTTTTGCCTTGTTTCTACATTTGGAGGAAAATTTTCTAGTGATCTAGTGATTCACCATTATGCTTGATCCTACTTGTTATTTTTTATTCGTAAATTTGTTTAGATGTAGACATAGATATGTAGGTCAACACTGTAATTGGATAATTATTTTCTTACTAATTGTTCCTTTACAGTTCAGGAATGAATGTCAAAGTTTATGAAGTACTTTTTTTATCTAAAACCATTGTTTCAAGCTACTTAACCTTAAGTAAAGTATGGTGTTTCTGGATGCAATGTACCCCTGAGAACCCCAAGTTGAAAAGCAGAGCTCAATAATACACCTCTTATTGTTCAGTTCAGTGTCTGCTACACTATCCACATTTAAAACATGTTCATTGATGATCTCATTTGTACCTATTTAATTTCACTTTAAGAGGTTTGTTTGAATGTGAAAGAGGGTAGTTCATTTATTAAAAGATATTTTTTCTGAAAATTATTTCTTTTCCCATTCCTAAACATTTATCTCAAAATCATTTTAAAGGGCATTTTTATTATAGTCATCCTGTACCTTAACTCTGCCTCATTCCTACGAGAAACACAAGAACTATACAGGGAGGATGTATGAGGACCTTTTGTTTGCCTCAAATAAGAAAATCTCTTCATAAATTAAAATATGCTGAATTATGAAAGATGCGTACATTAAAAGTAGAAAATGTACATATGAAGGAAAACATTTGAACACTTCGTTTTGACTGTAATTTTGTTTTGTATGTTGCACCGAAAGGCCTGATATTGACTGGAACTTCTTTCAGCTTTGTTGTGAATAGAGGATGATATCCTGGTCATTAGTGATGCAGACACTGATTCACACTGAGCTGCTTTCCTCTTAGCTGTTGACCTCTGTTTCTTCCATATGAATTCAAAATAGAGCTTTTGAGTGTGAAATTTGTTATCTCAAAGTCTGTCACACATTATCTTTATGTCTTCATAGTTGCCAAACTCTGAAATTGTCATGACAACTCTGGGAAGCTCTTACTATTATTATCCTCATCATCCCCGTTTTATGCCCAGGAAAACTGAAATACAGAGAGGTGAAATCACTTGACCAAGAACATTTTGCTGAGAAGGTCAACCCTCAGGTTTATGCCCTGATCTGACCGATTCCAAATCCAGCATCCTTTCCATAACACCTGTTGCCCTATTTATGCCCCTTCACCTATTGATATGCTAACTCAACTTTTCTTCCTCCCTTCTTCTGCCCCTTCTATGCAGGCCCGTGACCTAGGTGTAGACTAAGAAGTGGAGTCATGCTTCACACGGCCATATCATGCTGGCAGCCATTCCTGGGTCTGGCTGTGGTGTTAATCTTCATGGGATCCACCATTGGCTGCCCTGCTCGCTGTGAGTGCTCTGCTCAGAACAAATCTGTTAGCTGTCACAGAAGGCGGTTGATCGCCATCCCAGAGGGCATTCCTATCGAAACCAAAATCTTGGACCTCAGTAAAAACAGGCTAAAAAGTGTCAACCCTGAAGAATTCGTATCATATCCTCTGCTGGAAGAAATAGACTTGAGTGACAACATCATCGCCAATGTGGAACCTGGAGCATTCAACAATCTCTTTAACCTGCGTTCCCTCCGCCTAAAAGGCAATCGTCTGAAGTTGGTCCCTTTGGGGGTATTTACGGGGCTGTCCAATCTCACCAAGCTCGACATTAGTGAGAATAAGATTGTCATTTTACTAGACTACATGTTCCAGGATCTACATAACTTGAAGTCTCTAGAAGTGGGGGACAATGATTTGGTTTATATATCACACAGGGCATTCAGTGGGCTACTTAGTTTAGAGCAGCTCACCCTGGAGAAATGCAACTTAACAGCAGTACCAACAGAAGCCCTGTCCCACCTCCGCAGCCTCATCAGCCTGCATCTGAAGCATCTCAGTATCAACAATATGCCCGTGTATGCCTTTAAAAGACTGTTCCACCTGAAACACCTAGAGATTGACTATTGGCCTTTACTGGATATGATGCCTGCCAATAGCCTTTACGGTCTCAACCTCACATCCCTTTCAATCACCAACACCAATCTGTCTACTGTACCTTTCCTCGCCTTTAAACACCTGGTATACCTGACTCACCTTAACCTCTCCTACAATCCCATCAGCACTATTGAAGCAGGCATGTTCTCTGACCTGATCCGCCTTCAGGAGCTTCATATAGTGGGGGCCCAGCTCCGCACCATTGAACCTCACTCCTTCCAAGGGCTCCACTTCCTACGCGTGCTCAACGTGTCTCAGAACCTGCTGGAAACTTTGGAAGAGAATGCCTTCTCTTCCCCTAGGGCTCTGGAGGTCCTGAGCATTAACAACAACCCTCTGGCCTGTGACTGCCGCCTTCTCTGGATCTTGCAGCGACAGCCCACCCTGCAGTTTGGTGGCCAGCAACCCATGTGTGCTGGCCCAGACACCATTCGTGAGAGGTCATTCAAGGATTTCCATAGCACTGCCCTTTCTTTTTACTTTACCTGCAAAAAACCCAAAATCCGTGAAAAGAAGTTGCAGCATCTGCTAGTAGATGAAGGGCAGACGGTCCAGCTAGAATGCAATGCAGATGGAGACCCACAGCCTGTGATTTCCTGGGTGACACCCCGAAGGCGTTTCATCACCACCAAGTCCAATGGAAGAGCCACTGTATTGGCAGACGGCACCTTGGAAATCCGCTTTGCCCAGGATCAAGACAGTGGGATGTATGTTTGCATCGCTAGCAATGCTGCGGGGAATGACACCTTCACAGCCTCCTTAACTGTGAAAGGATTCGCTTCAGATCGCTTTCTTTATGCGAACAGGACCCCTATGTACATGACCGACTCCAATGACACCATTTCCAATGGCACCAATGCCAATACATTTTCCTTGGACCTTAAAACAATACTAGTGTCGACAGCTATGGGCTGCTTCACATTCCTGGGAGTGGTTTTATTTTGTTTTCTTCTCCTTTTTGTGTGGAGCCGAGGGAAAGGCAAGCACAAAAACAGCATTGACCTTGAGTATGTGCCCAGAAAAAACAATGGTGCTGTTGCAGAAGGGGAGGTAGCTGGACCCAGGAGGTTCAACATGAAAATGATTTGAAGGCCCAGCCCTCACACTACTGTCTCTGTCAATGTTGGTAATCAGTAAGGCAGTATGACACAAGAAATTACGAGATGAAGAGGCAGCCGTATGCAGCTGCCCCTGTGTCAAAAGCAGGGTCTATGGAAGCAGCAGGACTTCCAATGGAGACTCTCCATCAAAAGGCAGGCAGGCATGTGTCAGAGCCCTCCCACACAGTGGGATACTAAATGTTTGCATTGCAAATATTGGCATTCTGGGGATCTCAGTAATGAACCTGAATCTTTGGCTCACGCTCACGGACAATTATTCAGCATTTTCTACCGCTGCAAAAACAAAAGAAAAAATAAAGAACAACCTACAGTGTAGGATTTACATATTAAAAAGACACGTTGGTCTAAAACATACTCTACAGAAAAATTTGTATCTATGATTATCATTTGTTAAAGCCTTGCATCATACCATATTGTTGGTTCAGCACCACAAAGAGATCAATATATTCTTTTCTTTTTTTTTTGAAACATATATGCTGTACATGTTTTAAAGCAATATGAATGAGAGGTTGTGCTTTTAGTTACTCACCACTATAGATCCAAGTGTGATTTCACCTTCCGTTACCGACAGATGACCCTGAGACTAGATCCCTGGAGTTCTGGGCGGAGATATGTTGAGAGATGTGTGTGTCTGATGTAGGATGCTAAGAAACAGGACCCAAGGCAAAACTGCTCAACTCTGTTAACTTCTGTTACGATAAATAAAGGCATGTGCCTAGTTTTGATACAGAATGGAATATTTTTTATACTTGTAATATCACACTGGACCAGTTTACTGTAACAAAGCCCTTGGTTTCTCCAGAAGGTGGTGCACCACTAGATGTACCTGTAAAATGCAAGGTAGGTCTTAATAATGAAAATGATCCATTTAATCACTCCTTGATTTTACTTTCCACAGTCACTACTAGCAGGTTAATAGAAAATGGAAGAAGAGGTAACGGTTACAAATAACCATAGGATAATATTCACCAGTAGCTAAGATCAAGAATTCAGATTTCAAAGGCTCTCTGAATAAGAAAGAGTTCTTCTCAGATGCCAACACAGGGTGATACATGCATAACATGATGTTAATGCAAACAAGGATCTCTCTAAAACATGACAGCTGCCTGCGTGCTATATTGCTGCTACTGAAGAGAACACCTAGCTTCTGCCACTCTGATGTTCTCTATTTGAATACTGTACACACAGTATTACCTTGAATAGACAACTTCAGGGTTTCTTCCTGCTTCCTTACCAATTAGATTTGGGTTTTACTTTGACAATTATCTTGAGTAGAAAAGAGGAATTTGTCTTGTTTTTAAGAACTGAGAAAAAACAAGATGGATTTTTAAAAATTTACTGATTTTTTTTTCTCCACTGAAGAAAAAGCAAGATTATAGCCCTATACATATGTTAAGTTGTGCTGATTTTTTTCTCTCTCTCTCTGACCCAAGGACATTTGTCAACTTCACTTTGTATTAATGGCTGTTACTCAAAGTTAAACATTCCAGTTTTTAAAAACTGGTGTCATGCCATGACCACCAGTGATCTGGTTCAATGGAGGCATAGATTCATTTGGCTAAATATTCGGCGAATGACTTTCAAAGTGTATGGTTCTACAATCCGAGAAAGCATTGAATGTGGACTGTGTTCATGAAATGTCACATATTTAATCAGCATAGATCTGGTAGGAAATATCTAGTCACATTTTGAATAACATGTAAGCTGGAGTAGAAGGTCTCTGGGGTTTGCTTCTTGACATATTGGATTGGTGGGTTGATAGTCAAAAGGCTGTCTTTTTTTAGTTTGAAATTTGAAATCTTGAGGAACTTTAATAAAATTAAATTGAACCCAGTAAAAATAGGACAAGCCCAGAAATTGGTTTGCCAATCAGATAGCAACAGTTAAACCCATTTCTCCCTTCATAAAAGGTGGAAAATACAATGAAAGATTAAAGAATTACCTGTTCAATTCATTTTGCATGTGACTTTTCTGATGATTATCATAGATCTTTTAGAATTTTATTTCCCATTTGTGCCAAATACCTTATTTATATCAAACAATGCAAATCAAGCTCTGCTGCAAACTCTATCACAAATCCAACTTGTGTGCCAATGGAATGGGGCCTTTAAAATTTAAAAATTAACAAAGTTAAAGTAGAGATTTCCAAAAAACTTCCAAAAATGAATAGAAGCTACTTTATTTTGCAGCACTGTCTGAAGTAGTATTCAACTAATTGTCAAAAAAGAAAGAGAAACATTGAGCAATTAATAAAAAGGCTTTGTGTTTCTGATGGCTCTTTTGTCAAAATAAAAGTTGGCCAAAAACAGCTGAGTAAAATGAAATTGGGTTTAAATGTACCCATCCATAAAAAAGAGTTAGTTAGCTATTATTCATCCCATTGGAAGAAAAGAGACTGGTTTTTCTCAGAGGTCCCATACTCTAATCTATGGAACAATATCTATTTAAGATATTTCTAAGCATTTTTCCAGAAAAAGAGTCCTGTTGACCAATATATTGGGGAAATGCATCCTGTAACCACCTTTAGAGATTCAAAGTCTGTATGAGCCTAATAAATCCTCCGAAAAGTCCTGTAAACAAGAATCCTGTTTGATATTGTTTATTTTTGGGCTTCACTAATTTGTATGAGCAGAAGGCACTTTCTGTCATGCTGTAACTGTTAAGATTTTCAAAAACTAGGCCTCCATAGAACTCAGACTGGCCAACTTTACACTAGACTAGTACTCTTCTGAAGTGTTCCTCAACCTAATGTTTCTAATAAGAGTAAAAATACTGTTTGATTTGGCCTTCAATAGATTACAAAAAAAAAAAATTACCTGTGTCAGTGTTCAGATCATAAAAGTATACTGACCAGATATTCCCAGGGCAATTGGCTACTTTTTCCCTGAAGCATCCATCATAGTAATGGATTAACAGGTAATTAAATGGACGTTCAACTTTCTACACCCTCACTGTTAGAGCAGATCTTGGGGTCCTTTTTGTGTCTGCGAAGCTCTTGTATCCATTGACTGAAACACTGGTGCTTTAGTGTTCAGTTTCACAAAGGGATTCATGAATTTTCCCTTATGGCTTCTGATTACCTCTTTGTTATATCAACTAGAGCATGGTAGAGCATAACAGCTCATACCAGCACATGGGTCAAATTATTTGCTTACATATGACATCTCTGAGTCATTTTCTTCCCAGAGGCTTTGTTTCAAAGTATCCCAGGAAGAAATATGGTTGTTTGGCCCAGCATGTCATTCCAGTTGGTTTTCATTCCACTCTGGTTTTGCTCAACATTCTCAGAAGTTTTGCTTATTACTGATATCTCCCTTAGTAGGAAAAACACATTCAGAAGTTGCTCTACAGTATTTAGGATGGATTTTTTTCTTCATTGTTCCATCAAATCATTTGTACTCCTCAGTTCTTACAGGAGTCCAGAAGTTGCAATCTTCTGCGACTTTTTAAAAAAGAATTATTTAAATGTCATTTGCATTGAAGCCTGACTTTTGTTACTTTACTTTACTCTGATACAAACACATGCATTTTTATATCAGAGGTACAACAGGGAGGAGGTGATCTCGGAGAAATAAAATTTAGTTGAGTCCCATGTAAATTAACTTACACTTTCAGGCTCTCTCTTCATCTGTGTGTCGAGACATTTAACTTCAAGGGATGTGCTCAGAAGCTGTTCAACAACACTGAATATGTCTTCAGGATTTCTAGAAAAGAAAAAAGAACTACATAATTTTCAGCTTAGAAGTCTAAGACCAAATGTAAAGATATATCAAGAATTTAAAGAAGGTTCGAGGGAGACACTTGGACCCATTTTAATCCTGTTTTCTTTATTGCCAGTTTTTATACTTATTATCTCCTACTTGAAGAAGAATCAGAGATTATGTTCTTCCTTGACTTTCAATGGTGTCCTTTTTATACCTTTTTTCTATGACCCAGTCACCTATAGCTCGCATGAGCTATTAAATGGATTTTGTGGCATCTGGATCTAGCAACAAAACCTTTGGGACCAAAGCCATTCATTCTACTTGGCACTTAGGTAAAGATTTATTATCTCTATTACTATAATTAACATTCATTGTTTGTTACACTCATATATCATGTGCCCGGTTATTTCCATTGATTTTCCACCACTGGCTTTGGCAGCTCCATTCAATTCCTTTCAGCTAAAACCCTTGATATTTTCTGATTGAGGAGTTTGGGAATTATTCTGCCTTTGGGTATAGAAAGCCTTGAGGAATGAAATGTTATTTGACTTGTTGATTTTTTGAATTTTCTATTTTGGTTAGGCAACAGAGGGTGTTTCCTGGTACTTTGGCAAACACTTGATAGGAATCTCTCAGTGATGCTCCCCTTTTCCCCTTCAGACGCCATTCCCAAAAGAGCCTTCTCATTTACACTCCAGCTGGGAAAGGACAGCTTTATGGCACAGGTCTACAAGATGAAATGATAGCTGAGTGCTGTGATCTGTAGCTCCATTAACCTAATAAACATTGAGTCCAGGAGCCATATGTCTAGGCTTGCAAGGTTTAGCCAAGGAAACAATGTTTTAAATCAACAATTAATGACAGGTTTTCGACTCTCAAGTTGGTTTGTCTGTTTGGAGAACAGTAAGTGTAACTGCATGTTTTCTCAAAAGATGGTAGGGACTAGAACTTCCTTATCTTGTGTGAGATTTCTAACAGATGGCCTGGGATAAAATGTTTCCAACAACAACAACAAAAGACATAATTAAGATATTTGTAAAAGGCTTATTTTTCTAAAATAGGACTGGGACTGATGCTCCTCTTTCCAAATTTGGGAGTTTATCATGACAAGCTTGCCTGTGCCCTAGACTGCCCTTTTCAGGTTTATCAAGGTCTTTAATACATCTTCTCCCTCCCTGACCCCCTTCTGCCTGGAGAAGATCCTGAATAGGAAGGAGAAAAAGAGCAGGAACTAAACTCCCCTAAGACAGCCCACAGAAGGAGAAAAGCACTGGTATTCCCCCACATTGACTCCTTTCCTGATGCAGCAACTGAAACGATCCTTCACTCTCCTCCTCTGCCTACTCACCACTGTCACTTCTGAGCTGCTGCCATGCCTCATCAATGAATGATCTCTCCAGGGATAAGTCTTCTTTCATTGGTAACTGAGATTCTTGGGTAATTGTTAAACTGGAAATTGCTCTTAAAAAAAAAAAAAAACCCTCCAGCTATCTCACATAACACTTTAAAAGTTAAGACTTACCATTCACATAATCACAAGCTGACAGCAATCTGCAGGTTGAGTGATTCTGATTTTTTTCCTCTCTCTCTTCCAGAAGCAGGTGGGTTGATACAATGCCAACCTTAAATAGAAAGCTTTATTTATAGCCTGAGCAGAATGAGTAAAGAGTTGGCATCATCAAGAGAGTACTTCACATTTTAAGGAAGGCTTTATCTTTAATATGCAAAATAGTCATTAGAAGACAACAAAAAATGCAAATTTATGTTTTACTAAATTGCTTAACTAAATTAATTCCAATAAACTTCAAAAGATAACTGTCCAATTGAAGATGGGTCAGAGTCAAATACTTTATGCCTGTTCTAAAAGGACCCAAAAGAAAGGAGAAATTTGATTGCCATGTTAACTTACTTCATTTTCTTGCATACCTCCTATTCTAAATTGCTTTAATATCTTTAACTTACACTGCAATATACACAATAAAATCAACAATACAATATAATCAAATAATAATTATACTGGAGATTAATTCAGACTTGAAAAAAAAATTTCATTCTTTACAACAACGTATGTCCAGCAGCAAACTGACTTATATACATATCTGTGTGATAACAAGAGATTGGAATTGAATCATGAACAAACTTTGTATAGAGGCTATTTGGAAGAAAACATGCTCTTTTTCTCCCCAGTTATAAAATCAGGTATATCATAAACACCTGAGTTGCTTCATACACAAGACAGTTGTCTTCACATTTTTTCCATATGGTATAGAATGCCCCAAATCATAATTAATTTAAAAGCTACTGTTTATATATACATATATAAATATGTGGGGTAGGGTGGTTTGATTTTTTTGTAAGTGTTTATAACTGTTTTAAAAGTTGATAATCTTGAGCAGGAGAAAAAGAAAGAAAGAGAATGTCTGTGTTTTCCCTTAATGTCTTTTATCAACAATCCTATTTTGAGACTATCTCATGATTGAAAGTTAATAACCAACAACCTAACAAAACTTTTTCTAAATATGCCTGATTGTTTTTATTTTCAAAAATTTACTGCTAATGACAAGAGTATCTTGACTAAGTTTTGCATCTCATTAGCGAGTATTGCTTAATTGTTGTGGGCATTTTTTTTTCACATGTAAAAACTAGTTAACTTATTTTATAACATGTAAAATAAGTTAAGAAAATATGTTTTCTTTGCTGATGAAAGGGCTTAAGCAGCTGACATCTTGGTTAAATTCATTGAGGTATTAATATGAAATGCAATGCAAGACAATTGGAGTCATATAAAAACTATTTTCTTATTGAGAAAAGTAGGTTATATGGGTCTCACAGGGAACATGAGGTAGCACTGTATTAATCAGCAACCAGCAATACTGTCAGAGCCCACGCAGGTCCATTGACAACTCATTCAAATGCTAAGGCGAATGGAGACAACTCGGAGAGGTATCAAAAGACAGGCTATCCAGCTACAGAAGTAAAGTTACAGCGGGGTCATAGTTCAACCTGCTGGGTATCCATATTTATGTAATATCAACCACACTCTAAAGATATTCTTCTTCAGTGGAGCTAAATCCTGTATCACTTGCAAAATTATCCCAAATTCATTTGACTTAATTACATAAGCAAGTAATGGGCATAACTTAAGGCATGAAATCTATTTGAGCAAAAACGGACGGGTTCAGTAAGCCATACATACACCACCACCATCTAGTTTTTCTTAGTTAGCCTTCACTCAGCCAAATGATTCAAAACATTGTGTCAGGTAGGAAGGCACAAAAAAATTAAAAAGAGAAACATCTTCAGTCTTCAAGCAAATTGAAACAAGGGAAAGAGAAAATTGTCTAGTGTTAAAGAGGAAACGAATTGAAAATTTAGAAACTCCTCGGGCTGAGAGTGAAGATGCTCGCTTTACCTTCTGTACTTGAGCGACTGGGCTTCAGGGAGATATATTCAAGTAGGTGTCATCATCTAGGATATCACCTTCACTCGCTGTGGCTCATTAGGTGGTTTCTGGTGAAGAAGGCAGAAAGCTGACAATAATGGTACCTGGAAGTCACATTGTTAGATAACAAGAAATTAGGATTCACCTCCAGGAAACAACACACACACACATACTAAGACTTAGCTAAAAGTCAGAAAAGGTCCCTTTGCTATTTATTGTGTTTGGTTTGTTGTTGTTGTTGTTTGAGACAGTCTCATTCTGTAGCCAGGCTAGAGTACAATGGCGCGAACTCGGCTCACTGCAACCTCTGCCACCCAGGTTCCAGCGATTCTCTTCCCTCAGCCTCCGGAGTAGCTGCGATTACAGGTGCCCACCACACCTGGCTAATTTTTATATATTTTTTAGTAGAGACGGGGCTTCACCATGTTGGCTGGGATGGTCTCAATCTCCTGACCTGGTGATCCTCCCGCCTCGGCCTCCCAAAGTGCTGGAATTACAGGCGTGAGCCACTGTGCCTAGCCTGCTATTCTTTAATTGCAAAATGAAGAGCTTTCCCCTAGAGAGAGAATTTCTTCTTGAAAATTTTCTGTTAATACCAGAGCTGCTCTGGTCAGAGTCACATCTCTAACAGTGGGCTTTTATTTTATGCTACTAAATCAGTATGACTGAAACAGCCATTTCGCATGAACATAGTTTTGAATGTGTTGGATATACATCTCTGCCAATCAGTATTAGGAGTTGTCCAGTAAACTCAGCAATCAGGGATAAGATGGTCTCAATACTTCAGGACTTGTACTTAAACAATGGGAAGAAGATAATATAATGAAGTTAAAGCTATACTCAGTGGCCTGGCTTCTGGCTCTGCACTTTACAGATTTTCTGGTCATGTATTACTTCATAAAATTTAGAAGTTCATCAGAGTTTTGTGTTACCGTTGGTTTGGTTTCTTCGTTCTCTCATTTTCCTCTGTCATGAGCATACTGCCCTTGCTACATGGCTGTCAGTGTTTTTGTGTTGTTCAATACAGTCGAAATAAAAATTAGGAGTTTCTACCTACTCCCTGTAAGGCAGATAAGCTTACTGTACAACCTTATATTCCTTTCTTAATTACTGCATTATCAGACCTCAAGCACAGGAGGTGAAGATCCATGCGGAATAAAGCAAAGTTAAGGAGAAACTTGAGAAATGTGAGGGGAAATTTACCTACTATTTCTGCCACCGATTGGTGGAAAATCCGAAAACACTGGCTTCTACGGCTTGTCACACTGGTGCCTTTCATCAACTCTTATAAATAACTAAATGCAAAAATTATGACCCTCTATCAAAAAATTGAATTGGGAAGGAGATCCCTTATTATAGCTATGCAGGCATAGTTTTATTCCATAATATTGTCATTGGTAAATCAGGACATGTCAATAAATCTCTCAAAATAGTATATGTATCTTAATGGCAGAATGATACATATATACATGTATATTACTAAGAACTATCTGGAGAAAAGGAAAAAGATAAGGCAGATGGAAAACGTGGATTCTCACTCTTCTGTTTGGCTGCTAATAAAGAAAACTAAGAACTCACGTGAATCACCAGAGTGTCAGGGTCTCAGAGCTGAAAACCCAAGGAGTCTCTACAAAAACAACAGACTGCTAGAGAGGATACCTCTTTGATTGAAATACCTAAATCTTTTATGTGATTGTAAAAGCTATATCTATGTGAATAATTTTGTATTGTCACATTTGGAGATAAATTTGATTACTAGATCCACATCTAAGGCAGAAGTGACATTGTCATATTGGTAGATAAATGTGTTTGTTCGATCCCCATCCAAGACAGAAGTAGCGTTTATGTGAACCCTTTTCTAACGACAGCATCACTATCCATATTATTTCCAAGCACAAGAGATCAAGTATGCTGGAACCATAGCACAGAGGCAATTCACTGCATCTAGTCTATTCCTGTAGCCATGGGCTATTAGCTGGATGTACAAAAGACTAATAGGTTACATCCATTCTATACATGCAGGGCTCTCAGAAAAGTTAAACCAACACTTCTTCAAACCCGCACACACAAATCGTACTGTGGCATCCAGAATTTCTTTAAGCCTCATGCTGTATTAGTACAAACATCCTACAGGGAATTAATTCACTGAGCACAGAATAAATGTATAATGCAAAGAGATTACCAAGTCTGCTCCACCACCTTGATTTATATAAGCTCTTCTATTTTAGCAACACCTGGAGAATCCAGTGGTCTGTGCTTCAACCGTCTCAAGAGCCCTTCATGGCACTGCTGTAAGAAAGTTGCTGGCTTTAATGCAGGGCTGGTTTCAATATAGGGCAGCTGTTTTCTGCTGTGAGTCTTTTGGGGGAAAAAAAATAGGTTCATCGAAATTGAAAGTAACTGACAAATGTATCCTGGCTGGTGAGTCTAGGGAGAGTAGTTCATTGTTCAGGTAGTTCAGTATATTTTCAAAAGAGCATTTTATACAAATTGAAGAACACAAGCATTTCAAATAAATGGCAATGATCATATAAGCATATATAAGATAATTTAATTGCAGAGGAAAATGGGTGATGTTTGTGCATATCACACTGCCTCGAATATTGATCTGGAGTTCGTTTCCAAATTGATAAGTAAATACATTCTATATTGAAAATGATTTTAAATGTTTCTGTATTTTTATCTTTTAAATACGGCCAATAATTGGCTTAAATTCATGACCACAGAATATTCAGAAATCTACTCAATTCTTTCCTTCTCATCCTTGATTAGAAGTTAAAACTTAGATTCCTCTGGCTTTGTTTTAAAAGATACAGAAAATTTAGTTTTCCACCTATCCAACCACAATCTCTTTTCATTCATTTACTCATTTATTTAATTATGCAACATCTACTGAGTATCCATTATCATAAGAATTGAGCAGCCCATCTCTGAAGTCGTCACCAAACTGTGATTCAAACATTAATCCTGTGTTTCTCCACGTTAACGCCTTTGGCTTCCATATTGATCGCAACCTGTGTCTCATTCTAACATCTAAATCATGTGGTTTAGAGACAGGCCTTACTGTCTACCAGGCCAGGCACAATCCTGGTGTTAAGGACCTACCTGCTTTAATGATCCACTCTCAGGGAGTCAGAACAGTTAAATACTAAAAAGACAAGGATCTGGAGTAAGAGTCCCTAGCTAGGGCTGTGTCACTGGATTCATGTTTCTTTATGGGCAAGCTACTTAACATGTCTGCATCCCCATCTCTCAAAATAACCATAACACTACCTACCTCACAAGGGTGCTGTGAGGCTTACCATGAAAAGCATGAGGAAATGGTATGTAGAACTGGGGACCTAGTAGAAAGGTGCTACAGGATTACAGTAACTAGATGTCATTGAGTATGAACCCCGCTTTCCCTAGGAGCCCCAGGTCTGCCAGAATGTCTAATCTCTTCACAACTAGAATATAAAATGGTGTTGGCCATGGATTGGCTTGGTTTATCTTTAATGTCATTGACTTTTACAAAATTCATAACAATACCCTCTTTCTTGGAGAGATGCTCTATTGAAGAAATTATTAATTTTAACAAAGGAGAACGAAAATGATTCACTTCCAGGTGCTGGGTGTGGGAGAACAGTTATTTATATCAATAGGAAACAAGAGTTTGAATGGGTGTCTTCAAGGGGATGCATTTTATTGGAGACATTTATTGCCTGGGGCTTTCTGTTTTCAGTCTGACTCCCCAGCTTTCTGTATCATTGTTTTAACTTACATCCCCTTTTCTCCTTTATTGGAAGAGAAGCTGTAATTCTCATTTCATGATAATTCTTTTCATTCAGTCTGTTTTGCTCAAAGGACAAATTCTTTTCAATAACTATTGTAATTATTTTCTTAGAGGGCCATTTTTAATTGCCATATTGTTTAGCTAAGCCCAATTGTCTTGGTGTCCTTCAAAACTGTCAGTTGCTTTAAAATATAAGGGCGGGAGGGGGAGCTGATAAGCACATTGTTGTAATTGATTTGTATGTTTGAATTGTCTTATCAGAAAACAAGGTTATGAATTTCATCTGTTGAGACACAAAAATAAAATACTTTCTTAAAAAATTGTATTTTGTTCTTGAATGTTCTAAAACAGCATTTATGCTTTTCTTTAATATTTCATTAAGTGTTACATTATTAATCATATGATAGAAGCCTACCCTTCTCCTACATCTATTGTTATAGCTCAGTCCTTTACTATATAACTTGGGAAACAGTATAATAAAGTTATTCAACATGTAGAGTTGAAGCAAATCATGAAGAGCCCATTCTGAGGGGGTCTGCATTTAAGGCTGACCATGGAATTACATTGACACAGACAGATGGCTGTGAAAACAGGACGTTCAAGGCCCACTTATCCAGTGGAAAGTATCACTGCAAGTGATGGGAAATGGCCAGAAGATATTATTTCTGTCAGTCAAGAAACTAAGAAATGAGATGAAAATAACTGAGCTTCATTTTTTTTTAAGTCCTCTGGTTCAAGATTTTGCCATAGTCATTTAGAGAAACTTAAAAACAAAATATCATTGGTGTCTAGTCAGTTCTGGCTGCCATAGTAGAATACCACAGACTTGGTAGCTTAAACCACAGAAGTTTGTTTTTCAGCGTCCTGGACGCTGCAAAGTCTAAGGTCAAGGTGCCAGCAGAGTAGGTATCTAGTACCTAGTAAGGGCTCTCTCCTTGGTTGGCAAATAACCACCTTCTCTGTCCTCACATCTTCTTCACTGCAGGGAGAGAGGAAGAGAGAGAGACAGAGATAGAGGGGAAAAAAGAGATTCCTTTTTAATAAGGTCACCAATTCTATTGAAGTAGCAGCCTATGCTGACGACCTCATTTAACCATAATTACCCTCCTAAAAGCCCTATTTCAAAATACAGTCACATTGGGGTTAGGAATTCAGTGTATGAATTTGAGCGGGACAATTCAGTTCACAGCCCTTTGTTTCTGCACGTTGATCAAAATGCTACACTATCTTTCTTTACCAGGAGTAGGAAGGATGTTACGTATGAGGAAGGCAAGTTAGGAAAGTCAACATAAGTAAACATGGAACAGAAAAGGATTTCAACAACTAGTAAATATTCCTCTCTTTATTTTACTTATTACTCCTTGACACTTCAAAACTCTGACGAAGTGGTCGCTAATTTTCTGCAATGGCATATGACTTTTATTTCTATAACACGAAAGTCCTGATTTCTCACAACACATCTCCAGAGCTTTGTTCCCACTTCTTTTTTTTTTTTTTTTTCTGGCTCTGTCACCCAGGCTGGA